GATGGATTCGATTTCTTCTTGGGTTCGCAGAAGATCAACGGTTCTCTGGAAAAAGTTTTCAGGTAAGTTTTGGATTTCTGGTTAGTTTAATCTGAAGTTTTCAATAAAATTAGTTAGAGTAGCAAGTACACTTACTACTTCTTGCTCTAGATTCACTGGTTCGTGAGTAGGTTCAGAATTTATTACTTGGATCTTTTCTAGGGTAGCATCTTTGTTATTGTCACTAAGAGGTATAATATATTTCTAGAATTCAGTGAGTTGTGATATAGTTCTACTGCTTTTAGCAAAAGTTTCTTCTTGTAGGTAGGTTACTTGTGAAAGGTTTCGAACAGAGGTTAGTAGTAGAAAATAAAGTTATGGTTGGAAGTTCTTCATATGGTTGCTACGGTTACTGTGGCTCATGGCAATGTGGTAATTGGGATTGGATTTTGGAAGTTTCCTCACTATAATTTTCTTCAGAAAAAATATGTACAGGGTTATATTCTTCTTCCTTGTTATAATTAAAAGCCTAGGGGATTTTTTGAGTAAATGTAAATTCAAATAGGTTTGAGGTTTCTAATAGGGGTAATTGTAATGATACTAATCTTGATTGGACTTCTTGTAATTACCTCTGAACAAGTTCTTGAGTAACTTGAGTGTGAACTTGGTTTAACTCTTTCTCTAAAAGTTAGGTTGTGTCGAGGAAGTAACAATAAGACTCAAAATCTTGGAAATTAGGATCTCCTTCAAATGAAGCTTCTTGTAAATAACATTCATAATGGCTTCTATATAAGTGTAATTTAGCTTCAGCAAAAAGTTGATCAGACTCAGAGTTTATAGAGGGTGAACCTTTGTCTAAGTTAAGTTGGTTGTCTTCTAGGTTATTATTATTATCACCAAAGTTAAAGAATCTAAATATAAGTTAACAATATATTATTTCATGAATTACTGTGCACAAAGAAAATATTATCGTGCGATGGAACGGTGAAATGAATATATTATAGGTTGGATTTTATTCAGCTGGTTCTGAATAACAAAAATCTGGATTGGATTGGATTTACTTAGCTACAACTAAGCAAAGAAAAACAAAGGTTGGGTTTGTTCAAGCAGAGAGTTAACAAAAGGGTTGAATTGAAAAAATATTCACTACTACCAAATATAATGAATCTACTAATTCGTTTTAGAAAATAAATATCAATATCAACAAATATTTATTAGCGAAGTTTGTGGTTTATAATTAAATTATTTTACAAAACTTGCTTGTATCTTTATTATTCATATGTTATATTTATATAAAAATACATAATTAATGTTACATAATATAAATATATAATAAATGTATCTTAGGTCTTACAAGACCAATCCAGATGGTTACATATGATAATATAATAAATAAAATAGAATAAAATAAAATAAAAGAAATAAAATAAAATAGAAATGAAATGATTAACATATGGGATTACCACATTGTAAATCTAAAGTTAATCTCATATGCTATCATTCATTATCAAAATAAAAAGATAAAAGTAAAAAGAAATAAAAAGAAATAAATAATAAAATAAAATAAGGTAAGCGTAAACTACATAAAATACTGTGTAAAGAATGTGACAACAAAAACTGTTACAGCTAGCATATTTTTGTCTGTATATTCACTAGGCAGTTAAATGTCTAGTATTGGATATTTTGTTTCAAAAAATATTTGTAATAAAAGAAAATTCTATATGAGATTTGATTTTAATAAATTTTTAATTTTTATGAAAGAGCAAAAGAAAAGTGACTGAAACTATTCAGGATAAGAGATCTATTTATATTATTTTAACTACTATACCACAAAATACTATTTGCTAATAATTATAAATAATACAATACTAATAATATTAATATAATAACTGTTACTAAACAATATTGACTATAAATGATTAATAATAATAAATGTAAAGTAATACTAATTAATATTATCTTTAAATTAATATGTTTAATTAAAATATTAATAATATGTTATAACTACTAAATTAAAATAATTGTTCATCCTCTATTATAATATATTGATATTACTGATAATATTAAATAGTTTAATTAATAATTATAGTATTACATTCTATATTATAACAACACCATAACATAATTATATTATGATGTCTCATTGTGCTTTCATAAAATTTCAAAAGTAATGTTTTTATTAGTACTTTGTCTAAATTAAATTCATAAATTAGAGGTATTTCATTAAATAATTTAAATTTAATTATAATTGACAATCCAAAGTCTCCAACTTTTAAATCTAAATCTTTATATTAGTTATTATCAAGTTTGAGATCTCAATGTTTTACAATCTCCTAAGGTAATTGCAAGGTGAAATTTAATAATTTCTATTCTAATATAATAGTAAAATGTTAAAAGTAATTGTGTTTAAATAAAGGTTATACTGTAGGATTTTAGTAATACTTGATTGGAAAGATTAATTTACTACTGGAAAGCTTTGTTTAAAACTTCCTCCATGTTAAATCCACTTTTTCCAATCTTAAAAATTTTTTTTTTTTGAAAATATGCAAAATTGAAAGTTTAATCTTATTTTACTAATTGATATTATAAAGTTAATAAAGGATAAAATCTCAGATGAATATGTTGATTCTGCATATTAAATATAATATATCCTGCATCACAAGAATGATTATTCAATGATATTAAAAATAATATAATGAAATTTTGATTGTTTGATGGAATCTTCACATATCTTAATGTATGGCCCATCCATCATCTCCCACTCTTTGAAGTAGTACACTGGTCAAATACAAAAAAATTGCTAGTTAAAATCATCAACAATTGGAATTCCTAACTATAAAAACTAAAAATTGGACAAATTGACCATCTTATTCTTTCCTATTCTAGCTGTCTATTCTTTTGTATTTGACCTGTGATACCTGAAAGTAGAAGAAAATTATATTATTCTAAATTTTAATCTAGATATTTGATCTGAACTAATTTCCCTCTGCAAAGGAGAACAATCTCTGGATCTTTGATGCAGTTATGACATTAGACATGATGACAAGAAGTTATAACTGCATCACCATCAAATTGAACACATGAGAACCAGCCACTTTCCTTTAGAATTTTATTATATCTTTTTTGAGGATACTCTGTCCTTAGTGATATTGTGAAAATTTCAAACTGATATTTCCCTCAAATTTCCTTTCAGACAATTTTTTTTTGGCAAGTATGATTGGGAATATTCACAAATGGACAAGGATGATTCTAGGATAATTCGTAAATGGGTAAAGGTACAATTCATAATGTTTGATTATTAAATTAATTGAATGAATTGATAATAAATAATAATCTTATATTTGGTGTTGTAGACATCTACAAATTTATCTTTAAAGAAAAGAAAAGTAATTCAATTTTCAAGAATTATTTTCTCTTCCCAAATGATTTCCAAGATTGTTGAAAATTTTGAGAATTAAATCCTCATCAGATCTACATCTCTTTGTATGTAAATATTCAATGTTTTTAATTTTTTTGAGACAAAGGCAAAGCAAGGTCCGAGGCTGAGACTTGTGAGAAAGTATAAAACATTTTTGATTTCATAAGCAACATATATTTTCCAATTTTCTATTAGTTCAATATATCTATGGCTTGACTGAGTGAAAAAGAAAAATATTTGTTGTACAATTGCAATCGGGTTACATTAAAAATTATTTTATCATTAGAATTAATTTTGCTTTTATATTAAAATCCGAATTGTAAATTATTTTGTTTAGCAAATAGAAATTGTTCATCATCAAAAAAAGGGAATAGAATATGTTTTACATTTACAAAGGATAATAGTTGAGTTTTTTTTTTTACAAAAAAATTCGAAAAGTCAAGTAATTTACAAAGGATAATAATGGTTAAAGACAAAGTGAGTGTGGAAGGTTGAAACTGACTAATAAATTAAATTGCTGAGTTATAGGTGTCTTCTCTGGATATTGAGGGTGAAAACTTGGTCTCTATCAGAATTAATAAAAGTTCTTTATGATATGGCCAAGATAGATAAAAGTTTTTTTGTATACTTGTATTATTATTGTTGAAATACTATCTATATGTTGCTTCTAATTGAATTATTACTACATTTGAAACGTTATCTAATCTGTTGCTTCTAATTGAATTAGTGAATGAATGACACTTGACCATTTGCGAGTAATTTTTTTCGTTATTATTTAGCTAAAAATTAAATTTTGGAATTCCGGATACAAAGAAAAAAAAATATAATTATTAATTTTACTTGTTCTTTTAATAATAATTCAAATTAAGTAAAAATTTAAAGAGAATATATTTCTTTAAAGGTATATAAAATATAAAAATAATTTTTAAATGTGTATAAAGAATTAAGTGTCATTGATGAAAAAGGGAATAATTTAAATGACGTCGCGGGAAGTACCTCAATACAAAAAAAAAAAAAAATTATTTTATAAAAATTTACAATCTTTGATTTTGTGATAATAATATGTGATTATGTGATTGATAAAAGAAAATGAAATAAAAAATAGTGTTGGTAAATAAAAAATAGGTGAAGTGATATTTCCAATTTGAATGTGGTATGAAATTAATAAAAATTATAGTTTTTAATACGTTTGATACAACAGTAAATATAAGTGTAGTATGTATATAAAGTGTGGTAATAAAAAATAATTTTTTCGAAAGAAATTTCATGAATTAAAAACTTTGGAAAAAAAAAAATTATCCATCCATCTTAAATATAAGTGTAATCCTTTATTCAAAATCCATTTATCAAAGTAAATCCAATACAATCCTACTAGCCAACATCAAGACTATCAAGAGAAAACAAATAAATAAAAAAAGAAAGACGAATGTTTGAGATTTATATATTTTTAAATCTTATATCATCACATGATATTAAGATGGGTAATACGCGACAAAAATAAAACTTCATAACAAATTAAATAAAAGTTATTTTTTTTTCCTTTTTTTTTTTTATTATTAAATTTTAAAAAAAAATAAAATAACAGTAAATTTTTAATTTATATCTAAGTGGGAAATTTTATAGAATTCTCAATAAATATTTTCGTCAATTTACAAAATTCTTCAGAAGATATTTTCTCTGGTCTTAATGTTAAATCCCATTCTAATTTTTCCAAATTATAGTCAAGTAAACCTTGTTCTGTTGGTGAGATTCGGGATTTTATTGTTCTAAAAAAAAAGAATAATTTAAAAATTTTTAAGAATTTTAATTTTATAAAAAAAAAAATTGATATAACACTTTAAAATTATATAAAATATTTTTAAAACATACTTGAAAATTGAACGAAGAGTTTTTCGTCGCCTTCCATAAAAATATCTTACAACTTCTTCAAAATTGTCTACTGGCACTATTTAATAACAATTATATAATAAAAATAAAAAAATATCTTCTAACAAATATATAAAATTCTACTTACCATTTAACACAGGTTTAGAAAGTGCTGTTAATTGAATTAAAGTTGCGTCAACCTATAATAGAGTAAAATAAAGTAAATTAAAATAAGTAAATAAAATAATGCATAGGTAATTATATACAAACCTTCGGTTGTGGAACAAATATGTTTGAAGGTAGTTGATAAACTTTTCTAACTTCACATAAACTTTGTACTAATACTGAAATTCGACTACGTTCGGGATCTTTTACACTTGCTGCAATCCTCTTTTTTTTTTCATTTAATAAATCCATTCCGGTTATTAAATAACAAAAATCAAATAAAAAAAAAAAAAAAAACAAGTTCACTCACATCTCCAACCTCCTTTTGAAACATCAAAGTCATTATTACATTCGGGAACTTGAATATTCCTTCTCGCTTATATAACATTTTCATCCATTGTATCAATAATGGACTTGCCACATTAAATGGTAAATTTCCTATCAAATGCATTTTACCTTCTCTTCCTTCTCCCCCTCCTCCTCCTCCTCCCACTATTCCACCTTCTACATCACATTCTCCTGAATCAATATTATTGATTCTACTACTATTATTATTAATTTTCGAATTATTTTCAATTATTTTTTCTGTCTTTATATTCGGTATATTTGCTTTTTGTAATATTAAAGAATGATCAATTTTAAGCATGTCATCATAAATAATTTTTAATACACCTCGAGATGCTTCTGATAATTGCTATTCCGGTTTTTTTTTTTTAAATAAAAGTTTTATGTGGGAAGGAATGATGATGATGATGAAGGGAGGGAGGGAGAGAATAGAAAAGGATTGAATTGTTGAACTAATTAGAAATACAAATTGGTGTAAGAAATTTTTCTTCTTTAAAAATAATAATAATGATAATGATAATAATAATGACGATAACAACTTACCATCAATGCAGGTAAAAATCTTTTGTCTTTCTCTACAGCTATCATATTGGTTATCCCAGTATCCAATATAGATCTTGTTAATAATCCTGGACCTTTTATATGAAATATATACCAAAATATTCATTTAATCATTGATGATGAAATTGAAACAAAGAATTCATTATTAATATTATAAAGATTACCTGCCCCCACTTCAACTACAAGCAAATCATTTGAATCAATTTGTGAACTTTTAACAATTTTATCTATATCATAAATTTTATAAAAATTTAATTATCTCAATTATCTCTTTAAATTATATTAAAATAATTAAAAAATAATTAAAAATAATTAAAAAAAAAAATTAAAAAGATACCCGTAACATTCTTATCTAATATAAAATTCTGACTCAACTGAGATTTCGCTGATAATTTATAAATTTTTACCAAATCTCTTACTGATAATAAACTTTTGTTTGATATCATTTTTTATACAAAACTTGGTCAACCTTTTTTGTGTTTTTTTTTTTTTTTTTATAGATGTTAATTTGATAATCTTATCAATAAGTTTTTGACAGCAAGCAGATCGGTGAAATTATTTATTCATTTATTTAAAAATTTTTTTTTTTATTAATTACATCGATCGTTATTATGAAAATCACCTTAAATATTATAATATTTTTAATTATAAGTAATCATTTCAAGAGAAACCCTTCTAATAATGACATCCATCTACAGACAATATATAATTATTATTGGCATCTTAATTTTTCAAATTATCCATACATTTTTTTAATCATTATTGTAACATTTAATGGACGATGAAAATTATTATTATCATTATTTTTATTATTTTATTATTACTATGATTGTTATTATTATTAATATATTATTCGGTGAGGATATTTTTATTCGACGGTAACAATTAACCATTTAATTTATCATCATCACTTGTGATGATCACTATTGATTTTATTAATTTAGTTAATTTAGGTCATTTTTCTCAATTAATATACAAAAACACATATGAGGTATATTCTTAAATTAAAATATTAAAAATATTACGAACAATTTTAATTCTTAAACACGGGAATAATTAATTTAGTGAACCAATAACAAATTAGTAAAGAGTATTAAAAAATTGTTACTATTTTTATTTCTGTATAATTTCCACACAAACCATTTCTTCAACGTCATAAAGTCATAAACATTAAAACATAATTCGTGCGTGTAATCTAAGATTCGAAAAGGATGCATATATACTGTATAACTCCTTGACTCCTTGGCGAATGGATTTTATTATTTTATATATTTTATTATATGTTATACATTTTTATATTGGATTAATGTAAACAAAAATTATTATTAAATTATAATAATCTAAAATAAATTATCAAATCTACCGTTCTTTTATATATTATATTATATATATATATATAATTGTTGCTTTAGTACCTTTTATCAGCAAGCAAGAAACTAACCTTCTTTAATACATAAAAGGCCATGACGTGAAAAGATTAATATATTGGTTTAAAGTCATGCGTGAAAGAATATAATGATCATCATTATTATTATTTTATAAAAGCATAAGTATGACTGCAATTTATAACGATCTGTAAGAGTGCCATGTATAAAATATTGCGATCTACCTTAGCTATCAACACACGCGTCTTTTTTTCCAATGTTACGTGTCTCTTCCTATTTACCTTGTTTTTCTGTAGGGTAGGTTTGATATGTATATTTTTACACTGTTATTACCATTATTTTTGCACATACTTTATACTTTTCTAATACATTTTTATCATGTCTGCTATCACTTCTATTATTATCATTCGAGGAGAGTTATCCATGTCTAATGATATCCCATACATCAAGTATTTTGAGCTTTGCTCATATGAAAATTGGTCTCTCCACCACTACGTCTCCTTTATAATTGATGATTATAAGTTCGCTGATAAAGATAAAACACATTTATCATTTTTTAATACTCTGCTCCATATTAGTAATGATTTGTGTATATCGCAAGAAATTCGGAATGTCACTCAAAAACTCATAAAAAATAGAAAGGTAAGCATAATAAATATAATTAATAAGATTTGATGGGGCCTTATTGCCAGGTGCTTGTACCTATTGGATTCGTTCTAGTAGGAACTATGCAAGTACTGAAATGGATGCATTTGTTGGATTCGTTCTGGCAAACATCATGGAATTTATTGATATAAATTTTAGTAAAGATCTGTTGATTCTGAAGAAGGATTCAACTATGTACCTTTCTTTATATTAAGTAGGCATTCACCAATGAAGTAGAATATTCTCCAGCATTTCCAAAAAAGAAGAAGTGATACTTTTGTCCTCCAATAGATAAAATCAAATATCACCATTTCCAGGAAAAGAATAAAAATATCAAGGGAATATTTATTGTGAAAATCCAGATTCCAAAAAATGAAAATTTCTCACCGGTTCTTACATGGATATCTACTTAATAAAAATTCATCTATTATATATTCCTGCATCTGCCATCTAATCTTATTTTTGTATGATTGTGTTTACTGAGAAATATTTCTCATCTGGTTTTGCTTTTTATAAGCTGATGTTGAAAAAGTAAATAGCTTGTGGAAAAAAGTTAAGAAAAGGAAGTCATCACCACCACAACCATCAGTAGCATCATCATCACCATTGCCATTACTATCATCACCATCACCATTATCATCTAAGAGGCAGTATAGAAGATTTTTTGAAGAAAAAACAATGTATAATAAGTCACTTTTGTCCTGATGAAGACATATCTTTGCTAGTCAATGGTCCAGCAATAAATATTCTTGAAGTAATGAAGTCTGCTGTTCGAACTTTTGATAAGAATACTACTGCATGAGGATCTTCTCATTCTTACAAAAGTTCTAATCATTTGCAAGTGAATTTCTAGTGCAATGTACATGTTCTCAAAGAGAGAGTTTATGATGTAAAGATGTATTGAATCCTGCATAATTGGCTTGTGAAGGTATATAGTTTTGAAATTACTGGATAATGGCATCTTGAAAAAGTTTGCAAAGATGGTGGTTACCATTATTTTTATTGTGACCTTACCATTAAAAAAATAATGAACCCTCTCCTGTAGCTGTTCTTGAATTATTGGTAACAACATCCTTACCAAAATTGGATGAACATTTCAAATGGGTTTTTGATTATTCTGATCAACTTAAACCTTCAGAAGTTTGGATCATTCACTTTTCTTGAAAAGACAATGTTATGGTATAAAATGTAACATTATAATTATCAATCAAAACCTTCAATATATTAGTAGTATCAATACATTATAACA